GCGGGGAGAGGCAGAGGGGCCCGGTGGCAGGGTCCGGGCGGCGGCGGCGGTGGCGGCGGCGGCTCTGTGTCCTCGGACTCCGGCAGCCTGGGCGGCCCCGAGGTGGCCCCCCGCTGGCCCGAGGGCGCCCGCAGGCAGGCAGGGGCCCTGCAGCGGGAGATGAATGCCTTGTTCGTTCAAAAGCTGGAGGAGATTAGGAGTAAATCCTCCACGCTCTCCGCCGGTAAGACCTGACGCTCCTCCGCGGCGTCCTCTGTGCTGCCCCCACTCCGCCCCTCGGCATGGCCGGGCCGGAGTCTGCTGCGCTGCCGCGCCCAAACCGCCGCCTCCGTGTGCTCGTCGTGGCTTTACTTCCCGCTGCTCCCTGCTTGCCCGGGGGCCCCCGTAGCCCCCAGCACCCCGTCCCCCGCTGACTGCGACCTGCCCGCGCAGATCCCCCCCCCCCCCCCCAGCCCCTAAGCGGCCAGGGAAGCGAGCGCAGGTCTGACCACCGCGGCCCCGGGGGCTGGTTGCCCCCCCCCCCCCCCCCCCAGTGCCCCCATGACCCGGCTGCCCTGGATGCCCTTCCTAAGACCCGGGGGAGCTTCCAGCCCCCCTCGTCTCCCTCCGGGGCCGGGCCGCGGGTGTCCGGCCCCCGACTCTGCACCGAAGGCCTCCGGCGAGTCCGGCGTGGGTCGGTGGTGCCCTGCAGAGCGGCCCCCGACGCCCCCGAGACCCCCGGACGGTACCCAGGGTGTCGAGTGGAGTAGACGGCACCTGCTCGGCCCTGGGGATTCATTTATGGCCTGAGCCGCGCTGAGCACCGGCTGTGACTGGACCCCGGCCTGTGGAGGGGCTGAAAGCTGAGCTGTCCCCTCCCCGCCATCCCTGCACCCGCCCAGCCTCGATGTTTGTCCACCGGGCAGCCCCACCCCTATGCTGACCACCCTGTTCTCCCTTCTGTCCCCACGCTGCCTCTGTAGTTAGGGACTGAGAGCAGCCGAGTGCCAGGTAATGGGGCCCGGTCCCCCGGTCCCCCGTGCACCCTGTGCCGTCCCCGGCCTGGCTTGTCGGCCGGGCCCCGTGGACCCTGCCCGTGGCCACAGGCCCGTCGGCCCACCACCCCACCCCCCCCAGCCCCAGCAGCGGCAGAGCCGGAGGGCAGGGTGGGGGGCAGCTGCGTGCCCACCGAGGGGCCTGGCTGTTGGGGGTTCTGCGGGCACCGTCCCTGGGGGATGAGCCCGACACGCTCCTCTCCTCTCGTCCACAGACACCCGCCCTTTCTCCGCGCAGAGGCCGGGCTCCTCCCTCCGTGGCCTGGAAACCATTGCCGAGGAGCCAGCCCCGGGCCCCGGCCCCCCACCTCTGGTGGCTGCCCCCCCCAGCCCCTCCCCGGGAGGGCTGCCGTGCCCGTCGGGACCTGCCGCCGAAGTGGCCAGCCCCCCTGTGGTGGCTCTGGGAGCTCCCACGCCCTTCCAACTCAGGACCCAGAGCAGAGGGGACACGGAGCAAGCCCCAGAAAGCCATCGGCGGGTGTACAACGGTGGGGGCCCAGGGGGAGCCTGCGAGGGGGCCCCCGGCAGCCAGACGGTCAGAAGGGCTGACGGCGATGGGAAGGTGCCCCCGGAGATCCCGGGCGGATGGCGGCCCCTGGCCGGGCCCTGCCCCACCGTGTACTCGGACGCCACGGCTGGAGACCGGCTATGGCGGCGGCTGGAACCGGGCGGCCACCGAGACAGCGTGTCTTCATCCTCCAGCGTGTCCTCCAGCGACACGGTCATCGACCTCTCCCTGCCGGGCCTGGGCCTGGGCCGTGAGAGCGTCTCCGGGGCTCCAGCAGGACGCCTGCCCCTGCGACCCTGCTCGGCCACGGCCGCCCGCCTGGACCTGCCTGCTGTGACCAAGAGCAAATCCAGCCCTAACCTGCGGGCTGCCAGCCAGCTGCCCACGGCGCCGGAAGAGCTTCAGCCCCGTCCGCTGGCCCCTAGGCCACCCTGGGGCCGCCTCCCCCTGGTAGGCCTCCGGGACTGCCCTGCAGCCGCCAAGTCCAAGAGCCTGGGGGACCTGACTGCTGACGACTTTGCCCCTCAAGTGGAGATCCCGGGCCGAAGCCTGGGCCTGGCGAGGGAGGGGCGGGCGGTGCGGGGGGCGCGACGGGACGCCCTGACCGAGCAGCTGCGCTGGCTCACGGGCTTCCAGCAGGCCGGTGACATCACCTCGCCCACCAGCCTGAGTGGCGCTGGGGAAGGGGTGCCCGGTGCCCCCGGCTTCCTGCGGCGCTCGTCCTCCCGCAGCCAGAGCCGCGTGCGCGCCATCGCCAGCCGGGCCCGGCAGGCCCACGAACGGCAGCAGCGGCTGCAGGGCCCGAGGGGACCCCCAGGGGAGGAGCGGGGCACCCCGGAGGGTGCCTGCTCCGGGGGCCGAGGGGCCTGCGGGGACGTGCCGGCCCCCTGCAGGGGCTCCGCGGCCACCGGCCTCCTGCTCAGACTCTGACGGAGGCTCAGGGCGGATCGCAGCTGCCCTCGCCTTGGCCCTCCGTCTGCCACCCCTCCCCCCATCCCCGGGAAGGAAGCGGCCTCCTGGTCTCAGGGTCTGGGGGCATGTTTCCTGACGTTAAGATACACAACAGAGGTATTTAAAATTTAAGAGACAAAGCTTCTACTGCATTAAAATGGTGCCCAGTCCTCTTCCACTTGTACCTGGTTTTCTGCAGTGCCGGGGGGGGGGGGGGTGGTGGGGGGTGGTGCACAGGGGCGCGGGAGGTGTAGGTGAGCACGGGCACAGGGGGAGCGGACGCGCGGGGCCCCTGGTGCAGGGGCGCGGGTGTGGCTCCAGGGAATGCTCCTTCTGTGCCCAGAGCTGCTGGTTCCCTGCCCGACGGCGGCGGGCTTGCTCCACACAAAGCCTCCTCTGGACACCCTAGACTCTAAACTCGCACGCCCACAACTCCACAACACAACTCCACGCCCACGCCTGCTCGGTGTAGGGTGGCCCACCGCCCCCGTGACCGTGAGCCAAGTGTTCCCGGGCCGTGGTCTGTGCGAGAACACCCCCACCTCTGTCCACAGAGGGCTTCGCGGACTGGCACCCTAGGGCAGGGGCCTCGAGGCTCCAAGACGTAAGCCCTGCTCCCTCCCGTGCCTCCAGTCCCACTCTTGGACAGGGACCCCAGGCCAGAGGACCGCCTGGCTGTGGGGGCTGCCCTGCCCGGAAGGGGAGATACAGGCACTGCCCCTTCCCTGGAGAAGCCGGATGCTGGCTAGGCCCCAGGGGATCCGTGCCCGGGCTGGCCCCCCACCCCCGCATCTGGCCCCTAAAGAAGCCACCTGGGGTGCTGGGGCCAGCAAGGATCGCTGTGACAGGCGGTGCCCTCGAAGCAGCAGGCCGTGGGCTTGGCTGGAGGCCGCGCGACTCACCACCAGGATAAGTCTTGCCGTCTTCCCGAGCAAACCCTCGGGAAGGCGGGTGTGCACGCTCTCCCTCGAGGTGTCTGTAGGCCCCAGGGCCCCACACACCTCCCCAGATCCACCAGACCCCTGGGAACCCTGCCCCCGCTCAGGCACGGGGTGCGTTTTCGTGAGAAGTGCGCCCCACGGCGAGAAGCAGCACCAAGGCAGGGCACTCAGGTGTGCCTGGCCTTCGGGGCCCCTAGAATCCGGGGTGCAGCGAAGGCGGTTCTGGACCAGGGGTGGGGTGGGATGGCTGCTGGGGTTCCCGGAGGTGGTGTCCCGCCTGCTCACGAGAAGCGGGGGCCAAGCCTTGTCCAGCCCCGCGTGGGCCCTGCCCGCCGCACACGGCTACCGTCCGGGGGCCGGGCTCAGCCCCCGGGAAGCCCAGGAGGGGGGCAGGTGCCCCCGGTGCCCCTCCTGAGGGCCAGGCCGGGTGGGCGGGAGGGCCCGTGGGGGCGTCCTGACGTCAGGCCGAGCCGGGCTCTGGCCGGACGTCTGGAGGCCTCCCAGGTGTCTGCGCTGGGCCCCCTGCACCAGGCACTGCGCCTCCACCCGGAAGCAGGGGACGAAGGGCAGTTGGACCGAGGGGCTGGGGGAAGCCTGCTGCAGGGGTGCCGGCGGGGAGGTGCAGGGCTGGACTGTGGTGGGGCCGAGGCCGGGGGACTCTTGTGGGGGATGGGGGTTCATGGGACCACCTACTGGCCCGGCCTGGCCCGGGGGGACCCGGAGGCTGGAAGCCTGTGGGGCCACAGTCCCGGCTTTAGCAGAGGAACGGCTGGGAGCCGCTTGCACGTGGGGCTGGGGGTGACACGTGTGGGGGTCACCGGGGGGGGGGCTGGAACAGTGGGGTGGTCACGGCCCCTGAGCGTGGAAGGTGGGGGACGGGGCAGGCCACCCTCCAAGGCGGGAGCCCCGCACACCCTGATAGAAGGGTCATCTCACAGGCCCCCCCCCGGGGCCCAGCCCAGAGGCACCCACCATGGGTGGCCCAAGGCCACGCAGCGTGATCGGCTCTAAGCAGGAGTGTGCACGGGCCCCCGAGGGCTCTCAAAGGTCCTCCCCGGATGCCAGTCGAGTTGGGAGCGCCGCCCGCCCTGTCCCCCTTGTGCCCAGTGGGGCTGGGGGCTCAGAGGGCAACCTTGTCTATACAGACACACCGGGGGGAGTCTCCTGGCCCCGGGCTGGGGTGGGGGTGGGCCACGGCCCACAGGCCACAGCCAGCCCAGGGGCTTGGGGAGTAACTGAAGGGAAGGGCCCGCTCTCGGCCGCCCCGGGGACGGGCTCTCAGGACCCCTGCCCGCACCCCTTCTCTGCAACCACACGGCACAGGCAGGGGGCCGGGCCCGCTCTACACGTTCTATTTGGTGCGGACCCCGAGCCTCTGGTGACCTGTTGGAGACATGTGCATATATTTATATCTATACGTACATATGTATATATATATATATATAAAAGATTATTTAACAGTTAAATATATTCCAATACGAACGTCTCACTGGACAGAGTTGCGTCTCCCGCCACGGACGCGGCAGCATCGTAGGGACCCCGACGCCACACGCGCCCACGCTCCCACCCGGGCGCACCCGGCTCTCAGTCACAGGCGCGTGACATAAATATTCCGATCGGAACTCGGTCTCCCTGTTGTGGTCGAAGTACGTTCCCGACGAGCGGAGGAGGGTGGCGGGGCGGGCGCCTCACTCGGCCGGGACCTCGTACTTGAAGATAACGCTGAAGAGCCGGCCGCCCAGCCGCTCGGCCAGCCAGGAGTTCTTGATCACGGCCAGCTTGAGGCTCTCGCAGCGCAGGGCCGCGTAGTAGTTGGTGTGCACGGCGCGGCCCATGCCCTCGATCACCACCAGGTCTGCGCCTCGCTCCCGGACCAGCACGGCCAGCCCCTTGTCCAGGCGGCTTCGGGGAGGAGAGGGGCGGTGAGGCGGGGCGGCGGGCCCTCTGCCCCTGCACCGAGCGGCCGCCGCGCCCTCCCCACAAGGGCATCCCCGCCCTCCGGGGCCTGTGGCGGGAAACTTGTGAGAACCGGGCCTGAGAACGCTTTTCTATGTGCGGCACTCCAAAGGCTCTAACTCCTTTCCGCGTCACGCGAACTCCCCCTTCCTGCGTGGTTCACGACGGGCCCAGAACAGGGAGGAGGTCGATCCTCGAGCAACGTCCCTCCCCCGGGGCTGGCTCCCGAAGGCCAGGTTCTCTCACGTAGGGTCCCCGGGGGCAGAAAGCAGCAAGGCGGAGACCCAGGTGTCTAAGGGCACGTGGGGTGCCCGCAGCCCCAGCCGCGGGGCATCCGACCCACCAGCCCGCGGCGCGGCCGGGCCGCGGACGGTCCCGAGCCCACCCTCCCGGGTCCCCGAGGGAAGAAGGCTGCCCAGACCGAGGGCTCCAGCCGCACTGGTGACCCCTGCTGCCCGGCTGGCGCGCCGGGGGCCGGGGTGGGCGAGGGGGTGCCTCGGGGGTACCTGAGGTCCAGACACGGGGAGCTGGAGCCCGTCTGCATCAGCAGTAGCCTCTCCTCTTTGAGCGCCGAGCTGCGGAGCACAAGGGGTCGGCTGGCGCCCTGGGAGGCTCCCACCATGCCCCTGCTTCTCCGGGCAGGGCCCCCCGGGCGCCCGCCCTGCTTACTGGACGACGGGGTCCATGGCCGCGATGCGCTCAGCCACGATGAGGGACTCACAGTACGTCACGTCATTCAGGGCGGGTCCCGAGTTGCACGCCAGGATGACCTACGGCGGGACGCCCCGAGCTTTGTAGGGACCTCGGCCCCCGCCCGGCACCGAGCCAGCCTCTGCTCGCCCGCCCACCCGGGGCTGCCGGCTGGGAGGCGCAGCCCCGGTGACCTCACTGCTCGGTGGTCTCCAGGAGGGCCGGCTCCTGGTCGGGACACGGACGGCCCCAGAACGGGCAGACCCGAGGTCCGTGACAAGCCTCACCTGAACCTACCTGGCCCGCACGGAGGCCGCGCCGACGCCAACCCCCACCGCGAGTGGAGGGCCCAGGGCAGGGGTCCCGACTCGGCCCAGACGCTCACCTCCGTCCCTCTAGAGAGAAGCTCCCTGACAAAGGGGAAGACTCCCAAAATGACGTCTATTCCACTGTTATCTGCGAAAATTAAGGCACATTTGTGAGGGGGCCCCTGTAAGACAAAACCAGGACGTTCAGTTGGGAACAGGCGCGTCCAAGCGTTCCAGACACCTCTGTACTCCACACTCCCCGAAGGCCGAGGCCGAGGGCTGCTGGGTCCCGCGGGCGCTGGGGTGCTGGGGGCAGGGCGCCCGTGCCTCTTCCAGGACTGCGGCCCCCGTGACCTGCGAGCCGAGGCCGGCCGACCTGACCAGTAGAGCCTGCGGGACTCAGGCTGGAGCAGGGGGCGGTTAGCTGAGACCCGCAGCTCGGCGGCTGGGGGAGCGGGCAGGGGCCCTCAGTGCACTGCCCCGGGGCAGCCCCGCGCCGTCTCCAGGGCCCCTCCCCGCCTCCCAGGGCAGAGGTGGGGACAGCTGTACCTTCAGTCTCTGAAGCCACTTGCCGTAGGAGTCCACGAGCCACGGCCGCTCTGCGGGGCAGGGACACGGTCAGCCGCGCGCTCGTGGGCAGGCCCCCTCCCCCGCCCGGCCCCGGGCAGCCTACCTTGCAGCTTCGACTTGGCCTCCTCAAAGCCGAACTGGGGGTCAGATTCAAGGACGCTGTGTGGGGAAGAGAACGAAATCACAAAACACCCAAACCTCAGCTCACAGCATCCACGGAGACCCCGAGCGAAGCCCTTCCCAAACCCGTGAGCGTTGCCGTGACCGGAGCGGCGACGTTCCGCCGTCGGTTGTCGGCAGAGCGCACGGGCCCTGGGTCGGGGACCCGCTCGGCAACGTGAACGGCGGTGCCGGGGGGCGGGGGTGGGGTGAGGTCCTGAGTCGGGGGCGACCTCGGGCAAGGCCCTGGGTCGGCGCCGGCTCCCAGCCCCGCCCAGCACACGCCTCGACGTGCCACCCAAAGGGAAGGACGGGGACAAGGGTGAGGGAAGAGGCGGTGACTCTTCTCAAAGTCGGAAAGGACGCCGTGGGTGCGACCAGCGAGAACCACACAGAGGGGACAGCGGGCGGGAGACAGGGCGCCGGGCACAGGGCGAGGCGGGGGACGGGCATGCCTGCTCCTTCGGGAGCCCCAGGAAATCACCCTGGAAGGCTGGGTTTTGTCGGTGACCCCAGACCGAGAGCCCAGGGTGCTCTGGGGGCCGGGGCACGTG